AGTCGACCCGGGCTGCAGCGCGTCGAGGAGGTGGACTTGACCCGACCTGAACGCGTGCGACCCTGGAGACCAAGACTCGTAAAGCAGGACCGAGTGCTGCACTCTCCGCGGACAAGTGGAGCCGACAGCCGAGTGGCGAGCGCGCAGGGGCGTGGCGCACACAACACCCTCGGCCCAAGGTTCGAGTCCTGGTCGGGGCGTTTTGTTTTTGGCAGGAGGGGAGGGGGAGCTGCTGAGAGGCTTTCAAGCAATTCCACCTCCCCACTTCGGCTGGTCTCGTGTCATAACCCTTGACCCCCCCCCCCCCCCCCCCCCCCCCCCCCCCCATGGAGATCAAAAAGAAGCCAAGGCAAGGATAGGATGACCTAGCCGAGAGCAGACACATTTGATCTGGATCGTAAGCTCCTGATCTCATACTCAGTTCCAATATGTGATATAGCATTTTAAGTATTTGTAGTAGTTAACTGTTGGCAAGATAACATTCAGATTTCAATAAAAAGGAAATAAAATCAAATAAGAGTTTTGACTTTTCAATTCCAGGTAACTGTCACTTTATTAAATCATAAATCTATTTACCTTAGGTAAAGCAAGTCAACAATACATACTTGATTTATTTTTATTTGAAGTTATACATGGTTCTGCCACACCAAACACATCATTTTCCATGGTCTATGAATACCTATTTCAAATATTGACGTCATGTAAGAAATGGATGGTTTTACAAACAAAAATTATACAACATATCTTAAAACTTAACATAATATTGCACACACCCTCTTTTTCTACAAACTCAAGATTATCGAAGTTGCAATATTTACATCTCATAAAATTTTATTCACTTTGCTGGGGCTCAAAAGGTGGTCTCTTAGGATAATTCATAATAACTGATCGACACGACCGTAAAAATCGTTGTTGCTTCAAGTATATTTTTAAAATACCCTTGACTGCAACAAAAGTGAATCCTCCTAGTAATGTGCGATGCAAATTGTTTTCAACAGAGTCAAAAAGTACACGTCCTACTAAAGCAGCTATTGTTGGCATTAAGAGAGCTCCACTCAATGTACGTTCCCCACAGGAATGACTGAAGAGAGGTGGAAGTTGTTCCATTGCTCTTGAGGTGTCAGGAGGGCTGGAGAAAAAGATGGTAAAAATTAGCAAGCAGTACATTAAAAATTGAGTACAAAAAGAATAATATTTTGCTTAATTTTCTTAGGGGATGGTAAATTTTAAATTGGAAGGAAATATTAAATAAAATAGATTGATGGGGATACTTACGCAAAAGATGGAAGAATGTGACGCATAAATGGAATTTTGGAATAATAATTACGCATGAATAACCATAGCCTATCCTCCCAACAGACCATTTTACTCATGACAAGTACAGCAGGTATCGCTGGAAGTGTTAGCAGGAGCAAGATTGGGGAGGTGGATTCAAGCACCCCAAGTCCTTCATCACAGCCCATGACCTACACATTGCAAATACTAGAAACTTAATAAACATTCAAGCAAATAGTAAAGCATGATCAATATGGATAAAAGAACTTACTGTCATTACAGTGACGGCTCCATGAGTAACAGCACACCAATAAATAGCCTTGGCCAACATGAATCCCACAACTATAGGTGATACTCTTTGCACTTGAACATCAATTTCATCAAGGAATGTGTACATAAAGCCTGGAAAGAATTATATCTTAGTTGAAGTCTGCCTTGACACCAGAGTTGCATATTGATAGAGTGGTCAAAGAATGGAATATTACATACCCATCTTGGGTGCCTTTACAATATAACGAGTGTTACATTGTGGGCATTTAACTCTGTCATCAAAATGTACTTTTCGTTTCTCTTCAATAAACCGATTTAAACAAGAACGGTGGACCTAGTTAACAAACACAAATGAGTAACGAAAAACTTTAAGTAATTAATTGTGTATGAGACATGACAAAAAATATAATGAATGATATGCTTACCCACTTTGCAGTTCCTTTACACCTACAAGGTTGTACCCATTCTGCAGGATCACTTTGAACATTGTCCTCTTCTTCCTCATCCTCTTCAGAAGTCAAACAAACCCAACATAGTCTTCTAAAAGTGAAATGGTTGCATGATTATTAGAAAATATATTGGAACACAAAGGGACTTCTCAAGAAAGTGTGGTGAACTACGTAACTGTTACAGTTGTTAATCTTGAATACTTACTTTTCATCATCACTGGTAGTGGATGATGACAGTTGAGGTGCAGGAGGGGAAGAAGCGATGGCGAGTTCATCAAGAACATCCTGGGGCATGGCACGATCAGATGCTGATTCAGCCATTATTGGATCACCAGCTCTTACACACCAATGGTCTCCTGATCTAAGATTCAGAATCAGAGTAATTAGAATAACATATAAATCCTAATGCAACCAAAAGCACAAAATTACAGCATGTTGTAATTGCATGTTGTAATTAATGTGAATAAATAGTTAACATTTTAGGTACCAGGTAAAAAAATAAAATAAAAAAAAATAGAGAGATATAACATATGGGCAGCTTCTTCCTCAAAACTAGAGGATGCTGATATAAGACAAGTAATTTTGAAAGTGATTTGTTTCAGATTGCATCATATGATAACATGATGATGCACATTACACTGAGGGGAATTTTTCTAATTTACTAACAAATCAGCCTCAAGTTTGTTTTTGAAGTGTGCTTTTCAACAATGGGGCTGTACTAGTAGTATACACAACAATTTGGCAAGAACGGTATAATCAAGTTGTTGCCTGGATATTGAGAACCCCTCAATTGAGCATTGAGGCTGGAGTTTAGGAACTGCAGGAAAAACGGAGGACCCGTAAAGTTGCACCGCAACAACATACAGTCATGTACAGTAGTACTGCTTTGTACATTTGCAGGAAGAACTGACGCCATTGACACTTCAAGCCTGACAGACTTTAAGATACATAACTACTACTGGTATACTTGTAGATGAAAACTTACGGCATCAACTCAACAATTCCATCGGCGATTATAAAATCCAAACTCAAGAACGGTAAGATCACGACTCTAGCACAGCATACACACCGCAAGCAAACATTAACTCTTTTTACTTCCTCCCCTCCCCCTTCCCTTCACCCCCTCCTCTCTCTGTTTCCTCTAATCTTTATTATTCGCACAACAGGTCATAACTGCCAATAATGGTGCTTGCTTAATTTCTCATACCCAAACCGACTAATCAGTAAACATTCGACTAGACAACCAGAAAAACACATGTGGATTTCGTTGCCTGATTGTGTAGATAGGCTCTATTTAATTTGTTGTGCGTTAAACTTTTGCAGAGTTTTGTAAATTTGAATAAGAAAGTATATTTTGGCAGACAAATTTGTTCTCGCCCCTAAAACAGTGATTTACCTATCTTGGTGGTGATATGATTGTGACTATAACCTAACTCGTTTCACTTGGGAACCTTGTAACAAATACTGTTTTGATAAGTTTCTTTGAGGAACACTTCTTCGTCATGGGTAGTAAGTAAAATTAAAATGTCGAGTAAAGTTTTCCTTATGAGGTTTCCTATCTTCTGTCACTATTTTTTGGTACACATGCCTCTCTGCTCTTCAATAACCCAAGTTTTATCTATTTTCTAGAAGTGAAAAAATCTGCAGCCAGTAAAGTTATTGCAGAAAAAGATTGTCAACCGGAAGAAATTAAGTTTGAAGTACAGGGTGATGATATTATCAAGGAAGAATCTACTGAAGAAGCACAGGTTACAAGAAATAAACATGCTCGCCTCATAGTCAGAAATCTCTCCTTCAAGGTACAATTTTTTACTTTTTCTCAGATCTATCATATTTAATGTATCTCCTATCAATTATATTTTAATTTTTAGGCAACAGAAGACAAAGTCAAAAAGTTTTTTAGTTCACACGGAGAGCTGACAGATGTCAAAATTCTTAAGCGCCCTGATGGGCGACTAGTAGGATGCTGTTTTGTCGAATATGCTTTAAAAACAAGTGCTGCAAAGGCCATAGCCCATCTTAGTGGAAAACCTTTTCTTAGTAAGTTTTGAGACGTAGTTATTGTTTCTGTAACAACTCCTATTTATTTGGGTAAGAAAACTAAAGCGATTTGTGTTCACCATACAGGTAGGCCTATTGTTGTTGATTGGGCTGTTCCAAAAGATAAGTTTCTTCAAAGGACCAGTAAAAATACTGCTGAAGATTCTGAGGAATCCGGTTTTCATGATGATGAAGATGATAAGACAAAAATAAAGAAAGAGGAAAGTGAAGAGGATATTGATGAGAAAATAGAGAAAGATGAATCAGATGATAGTGATAGTAGTGTCGATGATAATGTCAATCAAGATGATGACGATGACGACGACGACAGCGGCGATGATGACATTGAAGCCGAGTCTGAAGATGAAGATCATCAAATGTAGAGAAATTTATCAAGTCAACATCAGTTTAGTATGTACATATATAGATAATCTTAATTTTTTATTATTTTTCAGAAAGCAAAGAAAGCCACTCCGTGAGTCCCATGATATCAGTGAGGGTTGTACAGTATTTGTGAAGAATCTTCCTTTTAGTGTTGACAATCAAGAGTTGAGGAAATGCATGCAAAAATTTGGCCCAATATATTATGCTTTGGTGTGCATTGACCCTTTGACAGAACACTCCAAGGGAACAGGATTTGTTAAATTCAAAGTAAGTTTTTCGAATGGTCTCACTCATTTATCTCCTTGGTCAACTTGTGAAGTAATCACTGTAACGAACTTTGTTTCAGTCAAGAGAAGTAGCTGAAGCCTGCCTCAATGCAGGAAAAGATGGAGATATTGTCATAAGGAATACTGTTCTTGAGACACAGCCTGCAATGAGTAGACAAGATCTTCATCAGGGCTCTAAGAATAAAAAAATAGAAACAAAGAAGGATGGACGTAATCTTTATTTAATTAAAGAAGGCGGTGTGTACTCATCTGTAACTAAAATGTAATCCATCTCCCTTCATAATATATTGCTCCAGTTCTGACAACATATTTATCCTTGCAGTCATTCTAGCTGGCAGTCCAGCAGCAGCTGGTGTCTCTCCAGCTGATATGGCTAAACGACTCCAATTAGAACAATGGAAGACACAAATGTTAAGGAATCTGAACAAGTTTGTCTCCAGAAATCGGCTTGTCATTCAAAATTTACCAGCATCTTATGATGACAACAAACTCAAAGCATTGTGTCTGAAAAATGGAGGAACAAACGCTGTTATTACAGAGGTAATTTTGATGAGGTAGTTCTAATTTTATAAACATTCTATTTTCAAAATTTTAAATTGTCTTTTTCCTCTGATTTTTTTAAAAAATTCAGGCAAGAGTGATGCGAGATTTAAGAAATGTAGATGCTAGTGGTAAAGGAAAGTCTAAAGAGTTCGGTTTTGTTTGCTTTACAAATCATGAAAATGCTTTACATGCATTACGAGCACTCAATAACAATCCAGATGTTTTTACGTCAGCAAAGGTATAAACTTGGATTTGATTAGTTTTCATTGCTGGTTTACTAGTGTCTCGTTGATGAAAACAAATTGATTGATATTTCTCCATTTAGCGGCCAATTGTAGCATTTTCTATTGAAGATAAAAAAGTTTTAAATATTCGTCAGAGGAGAATAGAAAAGAGCAGGGCTGGTCTACAACGTGGGCAGAATTCTAATGAGTCACAAAAAGATTGGGAAAACAAAAGAAGAGAGGGAAAGCAAAATATTGGATCAATGACATATGGAAAAAAACAGGGAGCTGGTAAAATAAATAATGTTGATCAAACAGTGCCAAACAGGGGGCAAAATAAAAATGTAGACAACAGTAAAAATGAGCCCTTGGTTGAAAAGAAGTTGACCAAAAAAGAAAGAAGACAATTAAAAAGGAAGAAATTATTTGAGAATCAGCAATCTACAGCTGCAGCAGCATTACCAGGAAACACCGAAAGGTAAGATGATTTTAAGACTGCCTCTACCATTCTCTGGATCTATAGGTTAATGCAACGGTTAATCCCATAATCCTATTTCATTTCAGTCAAAAATTCATGGGTGAAACAGCCAAGCATGGTCAGTCAGGAATTATGTCACGCCAAAAATTGCGCGAACAAGCAGAGTTACAAACCAAGTCGATGAAAACCAAGAACAAAAAAGACCGCTCTAAGAAACAGTTAGCTGCATTGAAAATCAAACAACCAAAGGTAAGGACTTGTAGAAACTGGTGGGCATCAAAACTGTTGTGTTCAAACATTATCAAGTTTTTGGTTTCTCTTCAGCAAAAAATGGCCAAGCCCAAGGACCTAAGGAAGGAAGACAACTTTTCAAAGCTAGTGAATAACTACAAAAATAAGTTAGTATCATCAGAGGTGGAAAGAAAAAAGTGGTATGCTGAGTGACAACAGTCGAGTGACAATCAGTTTCAAATAATTATCTTGTGATTTCCTTTTAAGAATAAACAAAATAAGAGGTTCTATTATTCAAACAAAAGACTTTTCTTTTAAGTCGTATATTCTTACAATAAAGTCATCACAATCAAAATGTGGTACATGTATTTACAGAAGTATATTGCAAAGCTATGATGGCAAACTTCTTTTCAATTGAGAAAGGAAGCAAAAAGGTGAATTGATACAACTAAACTTCAACATGAAATCAAATGTACAGGGAACAAATGTTAAATGAACAGAGAAAGAAAAACACATTTGGTAGATCATACCAAAAGCACAAGTTCAGAGATAAAACACTGATAGAAGAAGGTATAATTTCAACAGCAAAACAGTTAACATCATAGTTACAGGAAGCACATTTTGACATGATTAATGTTTCACTGCTGCACTACAGATTCAAAAGCAGTTTCTCATTGTACAATATTAACTTATAAATCTTGGTACAAGGTTTAGTAGCAAAATATACAATAATTCATTGGTTGATGACAATAGCTGATCAGTCAGCACATTTGTCTCCTACAGGCCTAAGTTCAATTGGAAAGAAAATCTTATCATCGTGCCTAGACATCTACAGAAATCATCAGTCTGAATGGTAACAAATCTTCAAATACATAGAAATGAAATTCTTGGTTGTAAAAATTCCAGCCAGAATGGTCATAGAAATTTAAGAATCTAATACAACACTTCAATGCCAGCATGACCTTTTGTACAAATTTTAAGATAATACTGTACTACTAGAAATCATGCCTAACAATAAAATCGCTATGCTGATGTGAATTAAACAAAATGTTGATCAAGAAACTGGTAAAATGCAAGAATAAATTTTGAAAAAGACATACACCTAAATGGATGGAATGCACCAGTCTCAAGTTCAATACTGAATACAAAAAACCGGGTGTGGCTTGGATAACTATCACAAGATTAAATGCCATGAACCATCTTCTGCAGAAGAATGTAACCTTTTTTTAGCAACAACAGAAATTGATCTGACGGATACAAATTATAACTAAGTATTTCACGAACTGCAGAAGGAGGCTATGAGCGGGAAGCCCCACAACCCCATCAAACAAAAAACAGAAAAATAATAAAAATAAAATAACTTTCCAGGTTGGTAAGGTATTATGATGGAAATGTCATCAATTTTCACACCCATGTCGACTTCAATAGGGTGCAAATCATAAGATCTAATTGTTGGTCCCACCATTTCATTAGTTTACATCAATTTTGAGTGTGATTGTGATCACAGAATCTTGATCTTGAAATAAATTTCAATACAAAATAATAAATAAATGTGAAACAAATACTTGAATCAATTCGGTCATGAATTCATGCAACTATTCCACCATTATAACCTTGACTATGATACTAGTTCACAAGAAATGTATAACAATTGTTTTTACACAATACCCCATTCAGTAGAGAGAATAAATAGAAGTCTGATGGAGTGTGGGGCTATGAAAGTTAAAGACATATCTACCTACTATTCATACAGTTCAATTAACTGTGTCATCAATTGACACTCCCACTGGAATAGAGGTAGTGAAAGTTGGCGTTTCAAGTTCCTCATGCTTCTTCATCTTCATACCCTAAAAAAAAGAAGAAATCATTTCAAATTACACACTCATAAAATTTTACAGAAAGCAACAGAAGCACATGTACACATAATTAAGTGAACACAACATATTCAACACCCTTCACTTCCCACTCTAGGATTTTATAAAAGATAGTAAAAATGAGATCATTACCAAGTTTGAACCAAAACCAACGAACAATTGACTTTAGAAAAACATAAATTAAAGAGAAAGCAAAAAACATCACTGAAGATTAAAAAACAAACACTATTGGTGCAGCAGAAAGCGGAGGTGCAAAATGTTAGTTGTGTTTCAACTGACCCCCACCTGCTGGAGCTTGTAGTGATTAATAATATCCTGGTCTGCAGGGCAGCTTTGTGTGAATGCATCCAGCTGGTACATATGATACATGTAGCGCCAAAGAGCTGCAAGTTCAACAGGGATGTCAAAATCCAAAAAGTATTTTCCAGCCACTCGGATATGCTGCAGTCGGGGCATCAATTCGCAGTCAAAACAACACATAGTGTCTCCAGTCAAGAAACGCTGGTTATTGCGCTGCAAATGTGCATTAATCTTGCGCAAATGAGACATCAGATTGTTAGTAGATACTTCATCCTTCTTCAACAACATTAATTTCAGTTTCTGCAATTAAAGAGAGAGAACACATATTATTCATACTCAGCTTGCTCTAAAAATTATAATAGAATCACACAGACTTCATTTCATACTTACACTGTATAGATTCTCGATTAAGGTGGCAACCTCCTTGTCTTGGACAAAGAGATTGTGTCCCCCTGGCACATTTTTCATGATATGTCGTTCAATTTTTTCATTTTCAAGAACTGCAAGACCATTGTCGATAAGGATTGGAGGAGGGGTTGCCTCAAAATTTGTCCTGATAAAAAAGGTGGTGAGGATAAGGCAATGTTCTTATTTTTAAGATATTATATAACACAACTATAATAGGCAAGAAGACAAAGAGAAACAAGGACCCTCACCTGAAATCCGGAGGTGGTTTTTGCATATCAACAGTGGTAACTTTCAGACATACAGTCTTGAGCTCAGCCAGAAGATATAGGTCCATGAAATATTCCTGGCAAAACAGGCATGCCCCCTTCCGCCGACCATCGATAGTGGAAGCCTGAAATGACAGAACAAAACGGGAACATTAATTCAAACAGATAAATTTACGGTATCAGGAATCTGAACAAAGCCTGGTCGACTTCCAGCCGTCCTCTTTACGGAATCAACCAGATGTTGGTCGGCTTCTAGATG